CAGTGTCTTTCCTGAAGTGACAATCTCCTTGTTGTGAGTGTATCTCCATCCTGCCTGTCCTCTGTCCTTCCCCTGGTTGGGCAGGGTGGTGGCACAGCCCTGGGCAAACTGCTGCATCCTCCATAGTGGGAAGGGGTGAGACAAAACCTCTGTAGAAGGGAGAGGGAGAATGGGAGAAGGAGGAGGATATAAAGGCTGAGATCTCAACACTAGGCCACAATGCCCAGTTGGAACAAAGGCAGTGCACACACACGGTCAGGCATCGATGCTCTCCATGATGGTCACTTTGAATCTGGAAGAGCAGCAGGTCAGGACCAGCACCCCTCTCTAGGCCCCCAAACTGCCCCATCTCATGCACCCTATAGGTAGGTAGGGACAAGGGTCCAGTGTTACAGTGGGTGCCCCATTACTGCCGAGGGTCTGCGACCATGCAGCCCGTGGGTAAGTATCTCCTGTTTTCCATCTTTGGTAGGGAATGGAAATGAGGATGTTATTCTTTGCTGAAACATTTTGAAAAGTCACAGCTGAAATCTCTCACTTGTCTCTTCCATCTGTTTATTTTTACCACTTAATAACACGTCTGTCTCTTCAACTATTCCTGACACCGTTGCAAGAAAATCCAACTCTGTGAAGACAGTTTTATCAAAGAGACATTGGCTCTTCATTACTGTGTGACACCACGTCAGCTCTTCTCCTGTGCATGAAGTCTGCTCTGTAATTTCAAAGGGTGTCTTCTATCTCTTTGAGGAGGTGATATGACCAATATATTTGAAACTGTTGCTTGTTATGCAAAAGGTTATCCAAACTGTGAAGATAAGAAGCAACTTCAAGCGCTTCAAGGATTCTCATTTGTTTGGTGATGTTTTTCTCTTCACTGCCACATGATGTCACAGACCTAATTTCAAGTGATTAGTAACAATGGCAAAACAGTCATTGAAATAATCCGTGACAGAGAACTCTGGGACAACATGAATAGGCTGTGCTATCAATAATTTCTCACCATTAATAATATAAAGTCCTGGTCTGCAGACACCAGACCTGCTCCTGCCTCTGCTTTCCAGAGGTGCCCCAGCGCTCTGCAGAGGGGCAGTGTGTCTGAGTGCAGGTCAGTGCTGTTCAGCTCCTTTTAAATTTGTATAATCTTGGGTTTATTGACTTGGCAGTGGATCACTTCAGTCACCTCTTTTGTTTGAAACTATGCTTCTGGTTTCATTTGTGAACCATCCACCTGAAGGGGAGGCCCGGAAGAATGGAGTCTGAACCACCTGACATTTTCAAATGAACTGTTTTACTGCCTTTCCCTTATTTTCTAGCCCTGCCATAAGTTTTTAGTTTAATAAATTTTGGAACCAGCCAAGCTGAGCCAATGTCCTTGTTTTCTTTTTGGACAGGGAGTAGGGATATTTCACTGAAACGGAGTCTTGGAACTCGCAGTTTGCTGTTCAGAATCAGTGAGAACATGTACACTCTTTTGAGCATATTCTGGTACCAGAATCCCAGCAGTGTTGATTGGGAGGGACCCAGTCCAACCTCCTGTTGGAAGCAGGACGGTTGCCAGCATTAGGAGAGAGGAGAGCACAGCCGTGGGTGTCTCCATGTGCAAAGCATAATGGATAAAGGCTGTCTGTGACAGCAGCACCTGGATTTAATGATTCCAGACCTCCTCACTAGTCCTGAGCCTGGTATCTCCTTGTATCTTGTGCATGGTCCTGTTGTGCTCACAGGAAGTTGACTGCCAGTACTTGGTGTTCCAGAAGTGATCCTCAGCTAATAAAGCAATCCTCATCATTTCAGAAAAAAGACAATTCCTGTATCAAATCAGTGCAAAAGATCATTCTGTTCACTCTTTGTCCACATGAAAGGCAGCATAACTGCCAGAGACCATGATAACCTGTCCTTTGGGAAGCTCCTTTCTTCCCTGGGAAGGAATGGCCACCCAACACCTCCAGGACCTCTCCTGCCTGTATAAGAAGCTAATTCCAAAAACTAGGGAAAGAGGACCAAAACTGCACTGTTGAATCTCAGAGTTTTCCTGTCTGTCCCTCTATATGTTCTATTCCACTGCAGGTGTATCCCATCGACAGCACCATGAGCTCTGCCCTGAAATGTGGAGTAGGAAATGATCTGGCAGGTTCTGTAGATCATGGAAAATCGCTAAGTGGAAAATAAGGAGAACCTAGCAGTTTCTGAAGAGTAAATTCAAATTCACTCATGTGAGGGAGAAGGATTTGTTCCAAAAAGATGATAAGAGTTAAGTGAGCTTGTAAGTAAAATGGCTCAACATTGCCCCATATTGATTTTTTTCTCCCAGAAATGACTCCTTCAACAAAGGACTTGCCTTTATGCTTCTCTCTCTCTTTGGCTGAGACTGAAGAGTGGATGACCTGGGACAAATCTACCTTTTCCTTGCTTTGGTCACAAAAAACCCAACTGAGAACAAACCTTCAGGAACCTGCTGCCAACAGAAGGGTGCCACGCTTGGGTGCATCTGCCAGGGCACATGTAACACACCTCCTGACTGTGGCTAGGCTCGTGATTTTCCAGTAGCACACTGAAATGGCATTTCCCAGATTCCCTGATTTTCCCTGCCTTGTTTTCTCAATCCTTTTAGGTGCACTTGCCTTGTTTTGTCAGGAACTGCCAAACCTCAGCAAGTGAACCGAGAACTGCCTCCCAAATGAATTCTGTAGCAGGAGAGCATATCAGGCTGTTGTCCAAGGTCCTTTCCTTCAACACATCTGCACTAGCAGAGAGGAAAAGAAGGGCACCTATCTAAAAATAAAATTATCAAACATTTAGCTGTTGCTATTTTCATCACATATTGTTTTAAAGCTTCGGTTCACTTGGTGCCTCTTGAAGAAAATATAGACTTGGGTGAAGGGAAGCACCTGTATTACCTACAGAAATGCTTCTGAGTGCTGAGCTGTTTGCAGCCTCTGGGCACAGACTGGCACAGAAACAAGGGAAGTGGAGGGTGATGGCTGTGGAAGGTATGGAGGCAGAGAGGGAATGTAAATTGGAGCTGATTTCTCGGTCCCACTTTACCTGCTGTTGCCTGGGTGCTCCTTCCTTCCCACCCTTCCAGCCAGCACAGGGAGCTGTGGAGCCCAAGGCTGCAGATCAGGAAGGACGTGGTCAAGAGACACACGGTGATCCTGGGATGACTTCTCTGTCCTGGATGCTGGGAGATGGAAACACAGATTCACAGAAAAATTTACAGGCACTCAACAGTTTAACCACCATGAGGGAGTTTGGATTTCACATGTGAGCGGGGGATGAAGGCAGACACAGCTTCACCTTCTACAACGACTCCAGCTGTCACGGCCAGAGGCTCAGGACACAATCAAACTCCACCTTTTCAGTTCAGCTGATGCTCCCAGACATAACACACCATCATCTGAGGAGCATGGGAACATGGTAGTTCCCCTGGGCTTGGCTGCAGGGTCTCATTGAAAGAACAGGAGAGCTGGGGACAGGGACAAGTGCCGTGGTTGATACCACGACAGGAGGACCACCAAGGCTGATCCAGCCACTCAAGAGTCAGACTTACAAAGGTGATGGATAAATCCCGACTTTTTGCATCTACACACTTCACTTGACATCATTTCATCCTATCTAGTAATTTGATCCACCTTCTAAATCCAAATACCAATACTTTCAGTTACCTAAAAAAAGAAACAATGCTCACACATAGGAGCCCAGAAGCTAGAATTGAAAGCATAAAACCCCAGTAGGTCAACACTGAGTCACACCCTGGCAATTAGAGGGAAAATGAACACAGTTAACTCAGAACCACGTGAAGCTTTGTGCATTCAAAAACACCAATAGTGTTTTATTCACAAAAAAGAAAGACTGGCTTTGAATGAGATTAACATTCACATGAGGTGACATTTGCCATGATAATGTGAGCCAGAAACAAGTCTTGCCCCAACAGTACAGGAGGGTGTGTATAATCCTCACAGAGGCAACAAGACCCCCCAGCTCTTCCCAAATTCCTGCAGAGCCATTCTGATGACCTGTCCTCAGTGGCTGCTGGTGTTGAGTTGATCTTTGGTTCTCCCTGCAACTAGTTTATTGTTTTCTGGTTTAGCTTCTCTATCAGTCTATCTTATTTAAACTACATCCTTTTTATTTTTTTGAGCTTTACATTTTTGCCTTAGAGACTTTCTAGTCTGCAGCCAGATGGGGCCCCTCTTCTTTCCCTTGGCTCTACTCACTGTGAGGAGAATAAAAGCCTCCTCTGTTCTCTTTGGACAGGTTTCCAGCACTTGTAGGATGGTTTATCTGGAAGGAACATTTCAGATTTTTCTGTGCTTTAACAGACACCATAGACAGGGATGTATCTTCACTGCTGAAGAAGAGCAAAACTGAGAAAATGCTCTCTCCAACCCTCTTTTAAACTATGACAGAGCTCAGGCTCTCTCTCCACTTTTCTATCCTTGACCTCTCAAGAAGTTTTGCTCTCCAAGCTTTTTCTTTCACAGGACCACAACAGCCAGAAGGGATCTCCAGTGCTCTCTGGTCTAGCACCCCACCAGCTTGGATCAGGCCACCAGCATCTTCTGCAGTCCAGAGTGAACTAACCTTCAAGGATGGAGACCTGACACTTCACTGGGGTCACTGGCCCCTGTGGAACTATTGGATCACCTTCCCAGGCCCTTGCTGAGCAACCACCTTTATCAAACAGATATTAGGGTAGCAGTCAGGGAGGGGACTGTGCCCACCCAGGATGTCCATTGGGTCCTGCTCACCCTGTGGCTTTCTCTGGACAGCTGGTTGTCCAGGAAAGGTAGTACTTGAGGTTGACCACAGCATAGACAGGCACTTAGAAAAAACAATTTGCACTAATAATAACTTTTTTGAGGTTATTCTTTATCAATCCCAGTATTTTCCATCTCTCCTATAGGACACTCTGCACCTGAGAGAAACTGGAGAGTGCACAGGGTTGAACACCCTTTAATGCCCCTTGGACCATGCTGGAAGGGGCAGGTGTCAGTGTACCTGCTACTCCTGGTGGCTGTTCCTGGTGGAAAACCAGCCTCCCCCCTAAACACACACTGGACGGAACTTCCTTTTCCTGGCAAGTGACTGTCACCCCAATTATAAATACACTCTTCAGAAACACATAAATGCATAACTTAACACCTGCTTTGACACAAGCATGGGAAAAAAGCGACACTGTTACCCCAGGGAGAGCTCACACCATTTCACCTGGTCCCCTTGGTGCAGCCCCGTGTCCCTTGCACAGGTGTGATGGCAGCCAGCAGCCACGGCTGGGACTGGAGCTGGGGCTGTAGTGTTTGGGGGTTTCTCATCACATTTAATGCTGCAACGTTTGTTTTCGGGCAGAAAATACCAGCAGTGCCCTTGACTTGCAGCAGTGCCTTGGCAGTGTTATGACTGGCCGGGTGGCCCTGTCCTCTGCAGACACCACAGTGACTCCCCACTGATCCCGACGCTCACGTGGGACTGGGGGTAGTCCCAGTGGGCTTCAGGCCCCGCACGCCACAGGGTGCAGATGGGAGAAGCCTTTCCAGGAAAGCATCCTTGGCCTCACTGGGACAGGGTGATGCCGAGACTGGGAGGCAGCTGTGGATTCTGAAGGATTCAGAACTGTTGCCTCAATTAAAACCAGGGTGGAGGGTCAGGGGCCAGCCCGGAGCAGCGCCGAGCAGAGCTCGCCCAGGTCGCTCTCGTCGTTCTCCTCGGGCTCGCTGCTGAAGGTGGAGGGGCTGCTGCTGGGCAAGCTGTGGCCAGAGCCTGTCCTCAGGGATCCTTGTCCCTTTGGGTCCAGTGTGTCCTGGAGGCATACACTGCCTGTGCCGGCAGGAGTTTGCTGGGAGTCTGGCTGAGAGTCGTTCCTCTGGCTGAAAAACTGCCCCAGCAGGGATTTCTGGAGGGTCGTTCGCAGGCTTTCACAAGTCCTCTGCTTTGTGCTCGGCTGGGTGTAATGCAAATCCAACTGCAGGACCACATCCGTCTGGAAGGGGAGAGCGGAGGACGCTAAGTGAATCGGAGACTCAGACTGGAAGCAGAGCTTTCCTGCTGTTGCTGCCAGACATGAGAGCCTTGGCTGGCTGTTGAGCAGGCTCACAGCCCCATGCTGTGGCGTGATGGAGAAACGCTACTGCCAGAGAAAACAAGCTGTTACACACTCACACAGCTCATGACGTCTGTGGGCCTCAGCCATGGATTCTGGATTTCAGGACTGCTCCTGAAATCAGGCCACCTCACTTGGGATCTCGTCAGCCCCATCAGTGAGCCCCAGTGCTCACTGTCACTGTGAGCATCACATCCAGGATGCTGGCACAGGGGAGCAGGAGAGGAGGCAAGGAATGGCACCATGTCCATCCTCGCCGTGGCTGGGACCACTGCCCAGGGGAGAGGAAAGCATGAAAGGGAGGGATATGAACCACTCCCAACCCTGGAAGTGTTCAAGGCCAGGTTGGAAAGGGCTTGGAGGAACCTGCCTAAGTGGAAGGTGTCCCTGCCCATGGCAGGAGGGTGGAACGAGGTGAGCTTTAAGGTCCCTTCCAGCCGAAACCATTCTGGGATGCTACGATCTGAAACCACATCACACGGTAAAAGGCAACAGCTTTAAGCAGCAGCACTCCACAGGGATCTGTTCACAGCCTAGCACTATTTTAGAATTTTATAAAAGATGAAGAACTCAGAAAATAACCATGGCAGCCAAACCCCTGAAAGCAAACCCCCAGCATGGGGCTGTGCCTGAAATGCCTGGCTGTACAGAGCAGGGAGATGTATAATGGAACAAGATTTTGACAGGCAATGCAGGGTCCAGGTCTCCTGTCGGCACTTAAAAGCAATGCAGAATAGTTGGGAAAGGTTCAGAAAAGAGCTCCAGGAACAATCAAGGACTGAAAGCATTGCCATATGCTGAGGCACGTCACGTACTCAGCAAACAGAGCTTGCTGTGGGCAGCAGCAACCCAGGCAGAGAGCAGCGCTCAGTGCAAGATCCACTGGCTGTCCCTCCTGGGGAGGAGAAAAAATCAAAGTAGAAACAAGGTGCACACTGCTGGGAGAGACAAGCTAGGGGACCAGCAATTCTGCCTCTCTCATGGTCTTTAAATAGTTTGAGGGTGTTTTGAAACGTGTCAAAGAGGCACAGTTTGGATCAGGCTTGGAAGAGTTACTCTGACGACAGGAGCTCCTGGCCAGCCCATGAGCTCATCTCTCAGGCAAGAACACAGCCTAGTGAAGACATCCTTCATGTGAAATATTCAGGCAAGTCTGACCTCCCCTAGGCTGATGGAGCAAAGAACAGTCTCCCTGGCCAGGTAGCAAAGAAAAACAGAGCAAGCTATGATGGGCGATGCCGCTCCCCACTCCCAGGGCAGCTGCTGTGGGTCAGGTTTGCTGGGAGGGCCAAGCAGGGGAGACAACACAAAAGCAAAGAGCATCCATGCTCAGGCTCTGCAGGCTGATCTGTAAATCAGAAAGGTTTTGCAGAGGTGGAAAAGGTGAGGTGAAAGAGGATAGTCCTCTCCTATGGAGCCAGGCTGGGAGAGCTGGGGGTGTTAAGCCTGGAAAAAAAAAGCTCCAGGGAGACCTTAGAGCTCCTTCCAGTGCCTAAAGGGCTCCAAGAGAGCTGGAGAGGGACTTTGGACAAGGGATGGAGGGACAGGCCAAGGGGGAATGGCTTCCCACTGTCAGAGTACGGGGTTAGATGGGATACTGGCATGAAATTCTTCCCTGTGAGGGTGGTGAGGCCCTGGTACAGGTTTCCCAGAGAAGCTGTGGCTGCCCCATCCCTGGAAGTGTTCAAGGCCAGGTTGGACAGGGCTTGGAGCAACCTGGAATGGTGGAAAGTGTCCCTGCCCATGGCAGGGGGGTGGAACAGGATGAGTTTTAAGGTCCCTCCTAATCCAGGCCAGTCTGTGACTCTGTGAAAGAGGGCGGCTTTTGTTCCTTGAAGATCAACAAGCTCCTCTAACATCGATCTGGATGTGACACTGACACAGACATGTGGTCAGAGGGGCACATCCAGCTGCAGCCATGGGGATAGGGAGCACCAGTTATGAGAGGATGTCGGAGAATAGCAGAGAAGCACCTGGAAGCTCCCTACCTGAATTTTCTGAAGTCCGCAAAGCTGGAAGACGCAGTCCAGCTCCTCCCACTTGTATACGGAGGCGAGCAGAGTCTCCACATGGTCCAGACGGCTCTCCCTCTGCATGGCCACGGCCTCCATCTCCTGGGTCAAGAAAACAAGAGGAAATGCAAGGAAATTTCAGCATCAGCATGGAGCATTGAGGCACAAGTGCCCATCAAAAGTGCTGCTTCTCCACATACAGCAATGCCCAGGGCTTTGATTGACATGCTGCAGGTTGGAAATGCTGTGTATCCTAATGGAAGTACTACAGAGAGCAAGCAACAGAGATTTTGCACATTCACCTTGTGACAATCAGTGAGAAGACCAAGCTAAACATCCCCGGAGTACATCTGTTGGGAAAACTGGGGTATAATGGGATTTGCAGCAGAGCAAAGAGCAGCTACAGCTGGTACCACAACCACTGGTAGCACCAGCACGGTGTCGTGGAGGGAGCAAATTTTCCAAGGGCACAGCTGGAGGAAGCTCAGAGTTGAGCCGAGTGCCAAATTAGCCCCCCACCATCTACACAACTGCCAATTCTTGCTGAGTTACTCCAACTTAGCCAAAACAGCCCTGTCTCTATGAGATCCTCTTCAGTACTGATCGATTCTTGGAGTCACTAATAGCACAAGAACCGACAAGGGAATAAGGGCCTTTCAAAATCATAGATTCATGGAATATCTTGAGTTGGAAGGGATTCACAAGGATCATTGAGTCCAACTCCTGGCTCTGCACAGGACAACCCCAAGAATCCCATCATGTGCCTGAGAGCATTGTCCAAATGCTCCCTGAGATCCAGAAGGGATGGGGTCAGGACCACGTCTCTCTCGCTTTGGATTTGAGCCCTCCAGAATGAGTGACAGATCACAGTCCACCAGCCCCTTCCAAAAGGTGCTTCCCTCTGCCAGCTTGCTCTGGCAACTGTCCCAGTTTAATCCTTGACAGAAGTTAAGGATTGGGTATGGTGATGAAGGAGGCTGTTAGGATATTTGGGGAGGTAGAAATTGGAGAAGCCCTGGGAGCTCTTCCTGGCCTTTAAAGACCTTCCCCAAACTGCTGCCTGCAAGTGGCCAAAGCAATTTGTTTCTAGTCAGGAGAGTATCAGGAAATGCTGGACCCCAAACACTAGCTGGGATCTGCAGGCATCAGGGTTACCCCTCTGTGCATGGCCTGGTGGAACAGGAGTAGTGCCATTGCTGATCCAGTAGATCCACTGGAGTCTGCAGAAACACCATTTATCTCTGTGCAAGGGAAAGCCAAACCCCATCTCTGCACTTGACAGCTCGTTATTGCTATGTTTGGAAATGGCTTCAGGGGTTATTGGCTCTATTTCTTTCTCAGGGATCACAGGGAGATTGACCAACTTGCAGCTGCACAGATCTTGGCTCCTGCCCTCCTGGCTTTCTGCCAGGCCTCAGGAGGACCACAAGCCAGTGGAGTCTCATCACCAGCTCCCTCAGCACTTGTGGGTGCATCCATTAGGTGCCATGGATTTGTGAACATCCAGTTTCTTTAGTGCTCCCTGACCTGGTCCTCTTCCTCCTCTGGGTGTAAGTCCCCCTTGATCCAGACCTTTTTCCTAGTCTCAGGGGTCTGGGAGTCCTGATATACATGTAAGAAGCCCTTCTTGTTTCCCTCAGATCCAGCCCCAAACGGGCTTTGGCTTTCCGAACCCCAGGCCTATATGCTTGAATCACATCTTTACAGTCCTACATCACCTGCCCCTGCTTCCACCTCTTGTACACCTCCTTTTCACGTGTGAGCTCAGGTAGGAGCCCCCAGCACATCCATGCAGGCCTCCTGCAGCCTTTGCTTGACTGCCTGTTCATCAGGATCCTTGAAAATCCCCCAGCTCCCCAGGGCTGTGTCCCACAGGAACACAGCTCTCCAGTCTAGTGACTTCAAGACATTCACCTGGGAAAGGAGCGACCTGATGTGTTTGCTTTAGCAGGAGAGTTGGACTGGATTATCTCTAGAGGTACCTTCCAACCCCAAACATTCCATGGCTCTGATCTCAAGGGATCAATTAAAACCCTGACACACGAGATTCAAAGCCCCTCAGCTACAGCAATTCATTAACCACAAGAATCTGCACTCTGCTTAATTCCCAGCCTCCATAGCCTCCTGTTCCACAAACTAATTCCCTTCCACATTCTCCATTATCATTTCTGGCTGTGTAGGAGAAAATGGAGAGAAGCATTTTCTGAATTAATTTTTTTAGCCAATTCATACTTATTTATAAACCTTTCTCCATGGTGGAATACATTTTTTAATGAAGATGATACCCAGGAATTGGCAAGGCCAGAGTTTTAGCTAGCCTAGAAAAACAGATATTCTATATAAATGGGGGAAGGGTGACTGGAAAGGCCATTAGGTCAAACAGCTCCAGATCAAGTGACTGGAAAACAAGGAGATCTAACATAAAGGTTTTTAAAAAGTAAGGATTCAAACAGTATAGAGAAAAAAAATGGGAATGCCCTAGCTGTCAGCATCATTCCTTTCTACACATATGCTACAGCAGCCTCTCCCTCTGAAGACAGTGCTTGTCAGGTAAAAATGCAAGTCAGGCAAGACACAGGATGGCAGGGAATATGGGACAACTAAAGAAAATTGATCAATGCCAGAAAATTCCATCCTAATTATCCCTGCCAAACACACAGCAAGCCCAGTTAAATCCCTTTCATAAGCAAAATGTGGCAAGTGGTGGGAAAACTACCATTTCCTCAACCAAGCAGCTTCCTGGGATCATTCTCCAGGGCTTGCAACCTCCCCTTCAGCCTGGTTTTGTTGGTCCTGCACTTCAGCAACCCCACCTCCCTCAGCATCCCCCGGGAGGGCTGGCACAGGGATCCTGGCAGAAGCCTTGCACCCTCCTGCAGATACCTGTGCACTCCCGTGGTCCCAGGGGTGCAGGGGTGGCCTCTGTGGGAGTCTGAGGTGGGGCAGGTGCCAGGGCCGGTGCCAGGGCCGGTGTGGTCGGAGGATGGTGGCAGGACATGCTGCTGCCTCAGCAGACACCACTGGAGGTCAGTGTGAGCCAGCACCGCCGTGCAGTGGGACAAGGACAGGGATCTCACTGCTGAACTGGGGTGCCTTTTTTGTCTCCTCAACCCTCTTGAGACAGCTCCAGAGGCAGGAGCACACGGCTGAGTGCCCCTTTGCCCTGAGTTGCTGATGTGGGGTGGATGCATGCAAATATCTGCTCACACACACACACACACACACACACACGTTTTTCATGCATGATTAGGGAGCTCACAAAGGGGAACGATGCTCCAGCTTGGGAACAGGTAGGATCAGGCTCCAAACCTCCTGGATACACCACGCTGCATCAGTGACCTCAATGTACTGAGGAGCAGTGTCCCTCCATAAGCAACAAGGGCTGAAAAACCCACCACAATCAAGCTACACTTCAGCAAAAGGACTAAAGAAAACGAGGGAGATGGTTAGCGGAAAGGAGCAGCAAGTTAAATCCTTAGTGGTGGCATGGAGACTATGGAGACCACCAGGAAAGACCATGCCGGGCACGTGGTCTGTTAGGAAAGGTGTGAGAAAGGGTGGAAGGAAGCTGGTACGGCTCAACAGGGAAGAATATGGAATATGAGCAGAGCAGGCTAAGAATGCATGATTCAAAAAGCCAGATCTGCTTCCAAACACGGAAAACAGAATGGCTCTTCACCTCAATCAGATTAAATACAATAATTTAATCAGGCAGGACAGAAATCAATCTGAGGGGTAACTGGTTAAAGCCATCATACCAGTGCAAAATCCTTTTTGTGATGCATGAGGAGCAAGGCAGGTGGCCTGTAGGGAACCCACTGAGGCATGGAAGGAGCCTCAAGGAGGTGTGTGCAGAGGAGGGGATCCTTTTCCACCTGGGACCAGCCTTTCCTAGCCCTCAGGACCCACCCTGGGCTGAGCCCAACCATGCTCCCACCTGTGTCCTGGGGAAAGCAGCCCAGGAAGGGGAGCTTAGAGGACTCACCGGGGGCTGGCAGAGCAGGAGGCGAGGGGCAGTGACATGGGCCGGGGGGGGGCTGCAGCTTTGCACACACGGACATCAGGTTGGAGAAGAGCCGCAGGAAGCGGAGCTCTGCCCGGGCCCCGCAGGGGAAGGTCAGTGTTCTGCTCAGCGGCTCTGGAAGGGAAATTCAAAAGGGATCAGCTCCTCAGAGGGTCCAGCCAACATCTCCCTGCAGCCTGGAGTCCCTGAGGGGCACAGGGACCTCCAGCCCTCTCCTCCCCATGCCCTGCATGGCTCACCATGGCTGTGTCCCCAGCGCTCAGCACCTGTGCCAGAGAGACAGATGGGGTCTGTCAGGGACCGGGCTTCCTTCAGGGTGTGTTTGATCTCCATCACCTGCTTCCCAGTGACCAGGGGATCCCGGCCAATGTCTGTGGGAAAGAGTTGGAGGCACATGGATCACTCCAGGTTCCTTATTGATTTCCCTGCCTTTCAGATCCTACATGGATGTCTCCATACTGCTGCCAGGCTACTGAGAGCTCACATGGGGCACAGCCTGAGATTTGGATTTTAGGGAGGAATGGTTGGCTGGCTGCCTGGGATGGGGTGGTGAGGAGCCACTTGGTCTCTGGTCTCTCTTCTCACCCCTGCTACTGAAGAGAGTGGTTTCTCGCTTGTCCCTCACCTTCCAACACATCCTCCAACATGTGTGTAACCTTCTTCTCTTTCAGAATGTGTTTCTTCAGGTATTTCATGAAGATCCCAGAGCTGAACTCCCCGTCCTGCAGTTCATAGGCTTCTGCATCTTCACTTCTGCAAGAATAAGGACATTTCTTCAGTCCTCACATTTCTGCACCAGGCACAAAGTCCTGAGGGTGAGTCGGGCTTGCCAACTCCATCCAGACTCTTTTGGCTGAGTCTGAGTTTGCTTCTCAAAGAATAACACAAAGTGCTTGGGTTTGGCCCAGGAGATGGTGGGAAGGGCGCAGGATGGGAAAAAGCAATGGAAGGGGACAGGACAGAAAAGCACAGTCTCCAGCCTAGGCAGGTGACAGAAGGTGAAAAGCCAGAAAAGCTGGCCCTGGAGCAGTAAACAACACCCATCATCTCAGGATGCTTCAGGTGGGCTGTTCATGGCACATGAACCTCGGGAATCAGGCTCAGGCCTGAAGGACAAGTGACAGTAGCTGAGGTCACCTTTACGCACAAGCACAGGCTGCCTTGAGTGATGGCAGGAGAAAGGACAGAAACGCCTGAACAGCAAATGCAGCAGTTGGAAGGTGAGAGCCAGAGGAAACATAGTGAAGCCCTCTCCAGCCTCCAAAGTCACTGTGCATGAAAGGATGAGAGTGGGTACGGCTGTGCCAGCATCTGGTCCTGTGTGCCAGCGTGGGGACAGCAAAGTGCACTTACGTGGCATAGCCATAGACAGTATTTCCCCAGGGCTCCAGCGGCTGCACCTGGGAGAGGGCACGTCCTGGGTTGTACCTGGAAGAGAAAGAAAAGGCATGAGTCAGTGTTGAGGACATCCGTCAGCTGGAGGGGACAAAGCCCACACGCTCTCCCACATCCATCTCCTAGGGACGGCAATAGCATCAACCCTCACCTCAGATCCAACCACAGAGACGAAAGTTGGGAGTCCCACCAAGAACCCAAACCACAGGGAAATGAGTAGATAGGTCCAGCTGTGACCTCTCTGCACTGGTGAGCTGCTCCCTGCCCCACACTGAGCGTGGAGCTGTGGGGACAACCTTCCCTCCTCTCTCCCAAGGCTGGATTTTAACAACTCCAGGTAGCAACAAAGTGCAGAGAACACACAGGGTCACTGTGGCCCAGTGGACAACTGTCCCTGCGGAAATCAGAGGTGTGCACAGCACATGGTTACGGCTCAACTGCCTGTGCTGGGGTCTGGGGCACCCCACAGGGCCCCTCCAGACCACACACACACACTTCTCCTCAGGGAACCAAAGCAGGTTATGGTTCATACACCCCCAGATGTCACCGAGAGATGGGATCAGGAGACACACACCCGGGTCTTGAAGCCCAAAACTGGCCCCAACACCCTGGTCTAGATATAGCTGAATGAGAACAGCTCCTGTTATTTCCAAAATCAGGTAGAACCACAGTAACAGGCCTGGTTTTCACCAAAAAAGATCTCATGGTTGCACTGAATGGTCAAGCCTTGTCCATCTGACTGCATGGGGACAGGCTGCCTCCAGTTCACACCAGTGACGTGGAGCTGTTCCCAGTCACACAGTGACAAGAGCCAGGAACAGAGGCAGCATTACTCCACATTATTCAATTCCAGCACAGCTTCCTGAGGCTGAAGCTGGCACACTAAGGAGAGCAGAAGGGATGGCTGTATCACCAGCAGTCAGTGTCACCTACTACTGGTGGCACAGTCTGGAGATATTTCATGGTACGATTCAATTGGCTTCTGTAAGTTGTCTTAAAGATGATCAGAAGAAAAAATGTGGGAAAGGAGATACGCTTCTAGATATGAATACTGAGATTTATCTGCTCCTCAGCTGCTCCTAAATTAATGCAGAAATCTGGCATTTCGGGTCCAAGGATAAATCAGAGAATTCCTGGAAGAGGCAATCGCATCCGCCCAAAATCAGCACATAAATGTATGAGGCTACACACAGGCTCCATGTTCCTGGTTCCTCCTCTGCTAAAGCTGAACATCTGCTCCCACTTGGCAAAGGAGGCTGTGTTTCTCACCACCCTGGCATTTCTGATGCCAACATATGGGGTGAGGAGATGCTCTGGGTGAGCTCCTTCTCAGCACAGACACAGCCCCTCCTGGTTTGTGCACAAGCTGTTGACAGACCTGCAGCATCAGTCGGACCAAAAGGGCCTTGGGAAAGGAGACCCTGGGAGCCTTATTTTACACAGTGTTGTAAACACACAGCTATGAAATCCAGACGCTTTCCCAAGCTAAAATGGTGACTTCTCAAGATAAAGGAGCTCAGGAGAGAGTTTCTACAGCAATCCCCCAGAAAATCAGGGATAACACCCACTGCATGAAGTGCTGTGCCTGTGGAAAAGGGGAGGTGTGAGCTTTAGGGGAGGAGAGAAAAAAACAGCTGCACAACCTTGCCTAAACATCCCAGCAGATCTCACACTGCACCCTCTTCCCAGAGCCCACTGAGACTCCACTGAGCACAGGAACGCCAAGGAAGGAGACAGCAGCTCAAAGGCAGACAGCAGCTCAAAAGCTGTTTTATAGACTGTTAACATTTGTGTTGGTGATCCCTGTGTAGCCTCCATGTCACCTCCCCATCACGCACTGCCCTTGGACAGCAGCCCAGAGGTGCAGCTCCAGCGGTGTATCCGTGAGAGCCAGGTGTTCCTGCTTGGCTGCATGCCATCCTCTGCCGGTTATCCTGCTGGGGAGAGCAGGAAGGTGCTGCCAGGTGTGCCAGGGAAGTAACACACTCTGCTTTCAGCAGAGAGCAAGAAGGGAGAAAGGGGATGCTTCACTCTGGGGAGCTCAGGGCAGGATCAAGGCACATTAAGATCTGGTGACACTGGCAATTCAGACCTGCAGGATAAGTCTCTGCACAGCCAGCTTGAAGCTATTCAAAGTGAGCATCCCCACCTCTGCAGCTACAAGGCATCAAAGATTTATCCTCTCTCCAAGGGCTGGCAGCTCTTTCAGGGTATCAAAATCCCTGTCGTCTTTCCGGTTCTTAGCACAGGAACCACAGCAGGAAGAGAGAGACTTTCCTGCATTTGCTCTCCAGGTCTTTTCTGACCTGTAAATCTGCCTCAGGAGACTGAAATAAATGAACTAATGACAGCTTCTGCTGCAACAGTCCACCTACCCCTGCTGAAATTGGACAAGTAGTAATTTTCTGCAGCAGGATAGAGGTCTGCAGGCCAAGAGAGGATGATAGGCTTTCCACAGACAGTGGGAAAATGCTGATCTCTGACCTCAGCAGCAGCTGCTTCACAACACAACCACTTCAGAAGGATTTAAGGCCAGTGAAAAGCAAGTAGCAGGGCTTAAAATATTTTCCCCATCATGCTGCACTCTTCTCACTGAAATGTTAACAAGAATGCAGCCAGGAGAAGAGAGGTGAGTCGAACACTCCAAGCCGGAGCACTTGGGAAACATGGACCAGGAAAGCACATGATCAGCAAGACAAGGTTAGGTGGGTCAGGCTTGAAATATAAAAGACAAACCCTGTGCTGAGTTTCAGACAACAATTTATGCCAGACACAGCCATGACCCCATGGGCTTGAGGCAACCTGCCTGTATTTGCCAGGTTTCTTCACCTCAAAAAACCCAAGGATTTTTCAAGCCCCTTCTCTCCAGCAGATCTCAGACAATACTTGATGCTCTCTGTACTAAGATGGGAACGACCCATCTTTCCATAACATCCTGCAGGACCTAAAAGTGCTGCTGATTTTATGACACACAATCAATAACCATTGATGGAGCAGCACCACGGGGAACATGGCCCCAGCAATCCACAGGAACAACTCACAGGGGGAGTTGAAGCCCAGAGCTGAGGCTGGACACCCTTCCCGGGCCCCTCAGAACACTCATCCGAGGTGAGGAAGGGGGAAGAGCACCCTACCACTTCCTGCAGGTGTCCAGCAAGATGATGTTCAGGGCTGTCTGCTGCTGCTGCATCTTCTGGAGGATCCTCTGCACGCTGATGCAGTTCTCAGGGGCGTAGGGCTGGGGGGCATCAACAGGGACCATGTAGTTCCTCCCCAGATGTTCGTACCCATGCCCGGCATAGTAGAATATAGCTGGGAACAGGGAGAGAAGAGAATGAATCAGGATGCCAACCTGCAGGTCTGTAACCAGCTCCCCATGGCCACATCCCGTCTCCTGAAGGGATACTGGAGCAGGGCAGACCTAGACCAGCAGCACCTATGGAACTGCAGCTACGCTGACCTCACAGTTTTGACTTTTTTCCAATTTATCCCTTTTGGCAGAGTCAGAAGTAGCCCTGAGAGGCTCCCTTGTGCTTGTGGACTCCCACACTGTTTGTCACCTGAAGTCACTGGGTTTACATATTTCCAAGCCCTCTGTGCTACAACACCCAGGCTCAGCATCTGCCAGGCTGAATTCCACCTTTGTACAAAGTTTGGGTTAATCCTCAGGTCTTTAAAGGAAAATGACAACAGAAAAAGATTTTACCACAGGATTTTACATTAACAGTCTTTTAAATGAGAAGCTTCTCATTTAAAAGAGCTTCCTAGTTTTGGAGAAGAGATTAACAACTGATTAGGTGATGGGAAACACTCTCCAGATTTCAAAGGTCTGCCTGTATTTATGCACCTATAAACTGGTGAAAAATTAGACAGAGAGATAGAGAGTTCTCCAGACGTCCAGAACACGTGGACCACACGCTTCAACAACCTCAGACCAGACAGGAAGACGTGTAAGGAAGGAAGAGTCAGACCCATCCAGGTGCTGGTGGGAAGTCCAATGCTCAACAAGAATTTTGGATTTTACTCCTATGCACATGGAACTTAGTAATGTTTTCTGCCTTCACAAGAGATGGCAATACAGGGACTTTCAGGTGGAAAGCACTGGGGAGCTCAGTATGGCCCAAGCTGGTGCTCCCCTCTGACCTGTGTCCCGTGCAGGGCTTTCCTCCTGCACAGGGATCCCTATGTGGGCTGAAGCTTCCCTAAAGGATATTGCACAGTGGCTGGTCACCCCTCCCCAGCGCTGATGACACTGCTTGGGGGATGCTGATTGATGAAAGCCAACTTGGGGAACTGAAATGGGTTAAAAATAGCTCTGTGAGGTGACACAGTTGTGCTACCACAATGGAGGGATGGTGAAAAGTGAGAGATCAGAAATGGGAACAAGCAGCTAAAAGGCAACAGCAGGAGAAATTCTTCAGTCAGACTCACTGCCAAAGCTCACACTTGAGTGAGTAACCTCTCCTCTCTATTCCTTCCACTGTTCCTGCCCCTGGACTTGGCAGGACACTCGCCTTGATCTCTGATTGGGCAAGGGATGTGGTGACAGGGGCAGGAGCTGAAGGACTAAAAGCATGACCTCATCGTGTGGAAGATGGAAAACATGATCTCACAGTCAAAGAGGCCTTGAGTCACCTTTGGTTTCTATTCTCAGGGGACAATGGAAAGTTTCTCAAATGGCTGTTTCCACAGATGCCCACAAGACTTGGGTTCCTCTTCTTGTGGATTGCCAGCCAGATACAGCGGGCTCTGATCGGCAGAAGCTCTGAGCTTTTGTAACTTGCAAATCAAAGCCACAAAACCCTCCCCTGAAACTAGAAAAGAGTATAAAACTGGAAACCTTCTGGAAAAATTAGATGCAGGCATTACAGGCTGGGCCCCTCAAGTCATCAAGCACTGGTGCCTTTCATGCCTCTGCCCCTGTTCATGCAAGGAAGTGATGACATCTGTCACCAGGTAGCATCACTGATGCTTGGAAAAAAATTAAATGCTACAGAAAAGCCCACAAAGAACGATTCAATCCTTAAAGTTTCTAACTTTTGAGGTCTTGTGCACCTGAATGCACCACCAGGTGCTCCCCAGACTATATAAATCCCAAAGACTGGTGTTCAAATCCAAAAAGACATGTTTCACAACAGCTGAGCAACTTTTCCAGCCTCTTCTGGACATAATTTCTCTCCTGAACAGGAAAGTCAACAATTTGCTCAGAGAAGGAAAGGGCTTTTTCATTCTGAGCTCTTCCCACGTCGTGTGAGTCAGAACTGCTGATCACAGACAAACTTCCGAGTACCAAATTAAAAAGGGGAAGCTCCAGGCACTGCTCATAATGCCGGAAATGTCAGCATGAGGCTTAATTAAGGCATGACTCCATATTCCAAGTATTTCACTCACAACTTTCTGCTCTCGTTGCATTTCCAATGCAATTTTTTTGACTCAGGACTTTTTAGGACACTCAAAATAACATCAAGGGGGATTCCTCGTTCGCCTGAGGAGAGAATGATTTAGATCACTCAGAGGATGCTTGGGGCCTTCAAAAATCTTCTGCAGCTTTTCTAAGAGATCTGGAGGAAAAGCAGCCCAATGACCCACCACCTCCATACCGTGAATTGGAGAAGCCTTTGGTACATAGAATCACTAAGCTTGGAAAAGACCTGCAAGATCATCAAGTCCAACCTTGGACTGAATACCACCGTGTCCACTAAACCATACCATGCAGTGCCACATCCACTCACTTTCTGAACACTTCAGGCCCAAAGCCTGGGAGGAGGGGGGAGAAGGCGCTGGCCTGGTCTGGGATGGTCTGGAGTTGCGGAAGTGGATGAAGGTCTCACAACAGCCTACAGTTCCTGGAGGGGCAGTTCCAGAGACCATAAAGCCTTACTCCCCTCGTCAGCATGGATCATACAGCATGGGGCAGTGAGCACCAACCTATGGAGGCTCATAGAGCAATCAGCCCTCTCTTCCCTCTCTATGTCTACACAAAGCTCTCCTCATTTCAGCTGTGGTGATTGCTACACAGGAGGTGTAACCTCCAGGTAAAGCCTGAGATACAAGGGGATTTCAGAGACCAACCACAAAAGGAAGCTGCAAGAGAAGTCATAGGAATCCACTGTCACCAGGTGATGACACGGCCGTGTGCGGCCCTTCCCACCAGCTCAGCCTCCCTGGTGAGTCAGTGCTTCCCGGAACAAGGTGGCTGCACAGCATTTCCCTCGTGGCCATGTCCCTATTATCCATTGCACAACCTCCAAACCTCCTGCTGAATGCCAGGCTGGAATCAGCCCACGCTGACTTTCACTGTCTGGGTGCTGCACAGCTGGGAGATAAGCCTCACTGGGGTTTGGAAGCAAAAAAAGCCCACTTGGCAAGGTATTTTCAGGGTACCTCTCGGGCTGGGAGAACTCAGGGACCCCAAAGGTGCTGCTTTACCCACCAAATCTGAACACCTGCTTTAAGACCCACAAGATCTGCCGGCTGGGTTTGTGTTTGAGGATCACTTCCCACTGAGAACAGTGTGCAATAAGCTCAAAGCCCAACCTCAAAGCCACCTGCAGCTGGCAATGCTCTTCTGCAAAAGGGCTCTCAGGGGCCCAAATTAGACCTTCAGGAAAGAGAAACAAGGAAATCATAGCCAGATGCAGCCGTCAGGGCTCAAAAGGAGCTCCCCTACCTCACACAGGATAAGTCTCCTCAATTCTGTTATCTACAGAAAAATGAAAACCCCTTTTCCCATTCACTATCAGAAGCATTGGCTCCCCAAAAACTCAGCGTGAGGCCATGCTGTTGGGGCTGGAGGCTGCCACGTGATGGAGAAACACTGCCTTTGCTGGCTGTAACCTGCCCAAAACTGAACAACACTTACCCAGGGGCTTCTGCCAAGCCTGGCACCACTGCAGACTGTGCTGCAGGTCTCCCTTGAGAGAGGAAAGTTCAGTTTTTTCTTTTTCAGTTCAACAGCTGTTCAGAAAATTGCCAAATCCCTGCTCAGCATGGGCAAGTGGCTGGGCTGGCTTGGTCTTACCATAGACTCCCTTTTCCAGGAGCTGCAGGAACTGACTGACTGCTGTCGCCATCTCAGCCTTGTTCAGATCCAGGAGGGAGACAACCTGGAAGCCCAGCTGCTCCAGAAGACGACTCAGCTCAAACACATCCTTGACAGGAGCCATGAGGTTGGGATGATGCTGGTAGCGGTTGTTGCCCACTAAAAGTGCTATTTTGCCTGTAGCTGAAACAAACACCAAGTGACAAAGCTGTAAACGCTCAGTGGGAGGCAAGGTCTCACCTTCTCCATTGGAGTGAGGATTCAGGAAATCTAAGAAAAAATTTAGGCAGGAAGGAGAGACCCTAGGCTGCTCCAAGCCTCGAGCACCCTCCAGAAAGCCCTCGGCTTTCTGAACACTTCAACAAAATACACAATCATTTTGACAGAAAGGGTTGAAAAGTTTACACTTGACAGCCAAAATCTCAGGAGTGCAGGAGGTTCTGCTCTACCTGCCCTACCGTGACCGTGGGCCTGGTGTGCCAGCAGTGCGTGGGAGGGGGATGCACTGAGCCAGGCTAAGGAGTCCTTTCCCTCACAGGGCTGAAATAGAGAAACCCTGGGGTCCTGCTTTGATTTTATCCCCACCTCCCCACTGTAAAAAAAAAGGATTTATGTCACTCAGCAGTGGTGGGAGTGAGGAGCTTTGCCCTGCTCTGAGGAGGTATTTCAAGGAAGGGAAAAGGTGTCATGTGAACAACATCTTTAAACTCATTTGGCAGCCCCAGAGCTCAAGACTCAGTTACTCATTAGGAATAATATTACTCCACTTGCTGAGAAAGATCAGGGCTTGGCAGGGGATGGGACTCATCTTGTGCCATGCAGCTCTGATCCCAAAAGCAGAGAGCCTGTTGCAATGTGGGCATAAAGGCTTGAAGTGGTCTCTGCAGGAAAAGAACTCCCACTCCCTGTCTTCCCATCCACCCTGGAGCCTGGCTTTGAAATAAGATAATACGTGCTCAGGAAGAAAAGACGACAGTACTCACCAAAAAACTTTTCAGAGCCACATGTACCTAGGAAAGAAAGAGGGAAATGATAAGCCTGTGCCCAGCATCCAGTGCCAGGTCTGAATCCTGCTCCAACATTCCCAGCAATGCACAGCTGGATCAAACACATAGAGGATCTGTATAAGCAATGCTCCCGGGGCAACTTTGTCACAGCCTGACTGCTAACCTTAAACACACTGGTCTTCATGAAATCCTGCCTGATTTATGACATCCTGAGCATCTGGGAAGCAAAGACTGGAAAAGGAGCAGGCCAGGGAAGGAGGGTCAGCACGGAGGAGCTCATACCTGGGCTTCCTGATGCGACTCACCTTCTCCCTCACTGCAACAAAAGCAAAGGTAACACAACGACTCAAGGTCAATAAAAGCTCCAAACCAGAGTTTCTCCCCATAAACGTCTGGTGCAGAGGGAGCCACCATTTGCTTTTGATTGTGATAATATTCCCCGAGTTGTTCATCTCCCTTCTCTGACTTTCTCTGCTTTTTAGCAGTTCTGGCTCAGAAAAGCCCCCCCAAATGTGACTCACTTTGGTGAGCTCCACAAGCTTCCCTGCCCAAGCACCTCCAGCTTCTTAAAATTGTTAGTCAAACACCTCCAGCTTTTCCTATTTAAATTAGAAATTAATTTCAAAATTCATCCCAGGAGAAAATTCTAAAACCCTACAGGCTCTAAAAGAAGAAATTAAAGATAAATTTCATACATCTCATGGGTCTGGAAGACCTCTGACCCCTGAGCCAGTGCTGCTGAGGCACCAGGGATGCCTGGAAAGTTCAGAACAAAACCATTCATCCTTTTCTGCCTCTGACAGAGGCACCCGTTGCACATTAAGCTCTGTAGCTGTAATGCTTTGAACCCAACCCAATTTGGTATCTTTTTCTTGCTGCCTGTCCCCCCTGGATGCAGTTTTGCCAGCTGTGAGGAGGCAGGCAGATTGCTCTCTGGATATACAGGATCAATTTGCACTTTGGAGAAATTTTAAAGCCAGCTTAAAAGGCAGGATGAGAAGCTTATGGCATAGAAAAATCTCTAGATGGAGTAAAGAGCCAGCCAAGCCAACTTGTGGTATTCCTGCTTCACGCAGGGCAAAGGCAGGGGCCAAGGGAGAGCTGGAGCATGCCTGAGGCTCTGGGAACACATCTTATCCCTGGGATCTGTCACTCATGCAGCATCAGCCCTCAGCTGCCAGCTGGAGGGGCCTGAACCTTCCCAAAACAAACCCTATCCTCTCCAGCTCTCTGTGTCTGAGTGCACCACTTCATCCCAGTGAGGCTGGAAATGAGTTTGGGCACAAGAGCCCACTGCGATTTGGCTGTGGAACTGTGAAATCAGCACCTTGGCAAGGCAGGAAAACCACAGGGAGCAGCTGAGAGCACCGAGCCTGCCCTAACACAGCATGTTTCTGGCAGACTGCAGAACCAGCATCCCACCCCACCAGATAGCGCATCACAGGGTCCGCGGGGTTCTCTTTTCCAGCCACCGCTTCCCTTGCTCCCTCTGAGCCCTGATACCAAGGAATCCTATTTATCACAGCCCTCATTCACCAGCTTGGTGCTTCCAGATGAGAGCATTAAATTCCATTGTACCCTCTAATTACTTCTCACTCCAGGTGATGTGCAGCAAAGCAACGGGGGTTGGCTCTGCTCACCTACGTGAACGTCCACAGCGTTGGTCCAGTGCTCTCCGTGACTGTTGGAGGCACAGCAGAGGTACGTGCCTGAGTCACTGACTTTGGCATGGGTGATCTAGACAGATCAAAAGTTAAACCACATTATTTATGGTGAAAGTCTGCAACTCCCTGCCAGGATCTGCTGAAGGCACCCGTGTTCCTGGAATAGAGTACTTTTCCTGCTATTCACTGAGACTTTGCCTCATAAAGAATCAGGACAGGGACAAGAACCAGAGCAGTACTGGCTGGCAAGGACTCTGGTTCTCCAGCCCAGGATCCTGCTCAGAGAGGGACTAAAGCCACCATTGAGGCAGGTTGGCCATAGCTCTGTCTATTCCAGCCCTGAACATCTCCAAGGACAGAGACCTCACTGTCTTTCTGGCTCCAGCACAGCACCATTCACCTCCAAATAAACAACCTCTTCCTAGTGCCCAGCCTGAACTTCCCTGTCAGAAGTGCACAGAGGACTTTCCCACAACCCTGCAACCAGCTTCTCCCATCACCCACCTCAGCAGCCAAAGTTTCTGAACTATCCCCAGGCAACCTTACCCAGAGTTTTTTTCTCTTGTGCTGTTCCAGCAGGTTCCCATTCCGGTACCACTGGTAGCAGGGGGCTGGGACCCCCATGGCAGCACACTGCAGCTGCAGTGGCTTCCCCACCTCCACCCTCTGCTCCGTGGGGTTGAGGATGATGACGGGCTCTCCTCGCCACAGCCGAGGGGGCAAACCTGCAAGGCAGCAACATGGAATTGGTTCTCCCTCCACAAGGACAGCAAACAATGGCCATTTGTCACCGTCACCACTGCACCTCTCTGCTTTGGGAGCAGGGAATGCTTGGGAGCAACACCTGCAATAGCCAACGCCAGACCACAGCCCTGCCTCTGGCTTCCCAAACCTGACCCTTGCCCTTTCCTGCCAAGGGTGCAGTCAACATGCTGAGGTCAAACACACCCTGAGTTATTTTTGGTCAGCTTTGAAGTAGCCAGATGGACTCTTCTAGTCCCAGCACCCCAAACAGCCCTAGAAAACCCACCGCGAGTGATCAGCAGGAGGTGTAGGTACATGCCAGGTTGGATGGGGCTTGAATCAACCTGGTCTAGTGGAAGGTGTCCCTGCCCATGGCAGGAGTGTTGGAACGAGATGAGTTTTAACGTCCCTTCCAACCCAAACCATTCTGTGATTCCATGATACATCAAGAAAGTAGAAGACATGCTCGTACCTCTGGCGACACACTGATGGACCTCCACCTTCACCCAGTCAGAGAAGACAGCATTTCTGTAGAGGTCATTGACTCTGCAGGTGTAGAGCTGGGTCTGCTCTGCAATAATGGGCAAGTCTGGGTTGGTTGCTCCAGGAATCTGGTGGCAGTCAGACTAAAGGGAAAACACAGGCAGTGGGTAGTGATTCCCTCCTCATTGCTGGCAGCAGAAGGCACTAGGAAGCCCCTTGTAAGAGCAGCAAAAGTGGAAATTCCTGATTTCCTCTCTTCCTTCAGCTCCCCCATTGTGTGCAGGGACCCAACCTGGTGCCATAACCAGGGACACACGCTCCCACCCTCACCTGGTGCTGACAAAACCACTGGTACTGCAGCAAGGTGTGTCCCTCGGCTCGGCACCGCAGTGTGAAGGAGTATCCCACTGGGACAGAGATGGAGACTGGCTGCTCAGTGATGGTAATGGCTGCGGAGAAACAGGGTGTGGAGGTGGAAACAGTGCAGTAAGCACAGCCCAGGGCTCGCTGGGCTACAAGAGTGGCATCCATCCTAGCAGGAAGGGAAGTTTGGAGGAACAAGGATTCTCTGTGCAGAGGGAATGGACGAAAGGACGGATGGGTGGGTGGATGGGTGCCACGAGGATGCCACGAGGCTCTTCTGGGTGCTCTCCCAAGTGCCATAGGGGTCGCACGGTCACTCTTCCCACCGCCCCGTGGCCGCTCACCTTCCTGCATCGCTTCTCCGGCGGCTCCTTCCCGGCCTGGGCGGCCGCCGGCCGGACCCGCGACGGCTCCTCTCCCCAGGACGCGGCGGCGGCACCTGCGGCGAGGGGACGGCGGCGCTGGGGGCGGCTCGGGCCGGGCCGAGCGGCCGCTCACCCGGCGCGGCGGCCCAT